CGCTAGTGCGCCGCTTGGGAAGCACGGTGGCGCTCCCGCCGTGGGTTCGGATCCCACATACAGACCGGTTCCCGCTCACTGGCTGAGCGAGGCGCGGGGGCAGCACCGAGGGTTGCGATCCCGTTGCCGGTCCCGGTCCGGTACGGGGGCGACACTGAGGGTTGCGATCTGTTGCCGGACACGGAAAAAGACAAAAAATAATAATAATAATAAAATAAAAATAAAATAATAAAAAAAATAAAAATCCCTGTAGGGGGCCGGCCCAGTGGTGCACTGGAGAGTGCTCCCACCGAGGGTTCGGATCCCATGTGGAGACCGGTTCCCACTCACTGGCTGAGTGCGGTGCGGGCGCAACGCCCAGGGTTGCGATCCCATTACCGGTCAGTAAAAAAGACAAAAAGGAAAAAAAAATCCCTGTAGGTATAAAATTCTAGGTATTCAAAAATCAGAAAAGTGATGGCCAATGTGAACAATCCACCAAGATCATTATAAAATATTTTAAACTTTTCCATTTCATAAAGAGAGAGAGAAACATCAGTAGGAACATGACAAATTATAGACATGTGCAGTGAATCTGAGCACACATCCCTCACTGCCTGGTTTGAGACCTCATTTTTTTCTACTCTCTATCAAAGGACAGCCTACAATTTTTCATCTTGAAGAACAGTGCTTTTAGTGTGAATCCATTCCAATCAGACTGTGAGTGTCTATTGCCAACTTCTAGAATGAGGCAACATGAGTAATATTTTAATAGATGACCTAACATAAGGAATGACTGTGGGTGATACAACATAACACCACGAGCTTCAAATAAGGAAAGGATTTTATAAGACAGTATAACAATAGTCAAGAAATTACACTGGGGACTAAAAATGACACAGAGGGTAGGACCGTTGCCTCTCTGAAGTGCATGGTGTATATAGCAAAGAAGACCTTCTTTTGAAGACATTAGAGAAAGCAGTGTGCACAGGAAAAAAATAAAATGAGATCCCATTTATAAGTCAGAAGCATATTTTAGGCTTCCCATTTATAAGTCAGCAGCATATATTAGATTCCAGTTGAAAAACTTTTCATAAATTAGGTCATCCAACAATCATAAAAATCACATAAACAGAGGGCAATTGCTACTCTTCTTAAATGAGGAAACTAGAACTCAGTTCAAGATCAGTAAGTCAAAATCCACACATCTTATCAGTGGCCAAATCGGTGTGCCTGGGATTTTTTTTTTTTTTTAACTATCATGACCATACACATTTTTATATTTTTATTTTTTATTCGTTATGAATTTTTATGAGCTACAAAGCTGATTGTCACCCCTTGTACTCAAGAACGCCAGATCCATACTGGCGGAATGCCCATTACCACAAATTGTAATTGCACCCCATGTCCCCCACCCAATTATCCCAACCTCCCTCACCCTCACCCTTTCCCCCAACCACTCCACTTTTTGTCCCAAGGTATGTTCTCTCCCTCTGCATGTCCAACATATGACTGTGGTCTTTTGTTTCTTCCTTCTTTCTTTCTTAGCTCCCAATTGTGAGTGAGAACATGCGCATTTATCCCTCTGTGCTTTGCTTATTTCACTCAGCATAAGTTTCTCCAGGCTCATCCATATTGGTGCAAATGGGAGAATTTCGTTCTTTTTTGTAGCAGAGTAGTATTCCATGGTGTATATATACCACAGTTTCCTTATCCAGTCATCCATCAATGGATGTTTAGGTTGGTTCCATGTCTTGGCTATTGTAAACACAGCTGTGATGAACATGGGAGTACAGGTATCCCTTCAACATGATGATTTCCATTCCTCTAGGTATATACCCAGAAATGGGATTGCTGGATCGTATGGAAGATCTATCTGTAGTTGTGTGAGAAACCTCATAGTGGTTGTACTAATTTACAGTCCCACCAACAGTGTAGGAGTGTTCCCTTCTCTCCATAGCCTCACCAGCATTTGTTATTCACCATCTTTTTAATTATAGCCAGTCTAATTGGGGTGAGGTGGTATCTCAATGTGGTTTTAATCTGCATTTCTCTGATGACTAGTGTTTTTGAATATTTTTTCATGTACCTGTGGTCATTTGTATGTCTTCCTTTGAAAAATGCCTATTCAGCTCCTTTGCCCATTCTTTAATTGGGTTATTTGGTGTTTTACTGTGTAATTGCTTGAGTTCCTTGTATATTGTGGATATTAATCCCTTGTCAGATGCATAGTTAGAAAAAATTTTCTCCCACTCTGTAGGTTGTAGTTCCTGAAGTGTTTCACCTATATTTTTCCTTAATAATTTTACAGTATTGGGTCTTATACTGAAGTCTTTAATCCATTTTGAGTTGATTCTAGTTTATGGTGAGAGATGCATATCTAGTTTCATTCTTCTCAAATGGATATCCAATTTTACCAGCACCACTTGTTGAAGAGGAAGTTTTTTCCCCAATGTAGATTTTTGTTGCCTTTGTCCAATATCAGATGGCTGTAAGCCTGAGGGTCTCAATTCTGCTCCACTGGTCTGAGTGTCTATTTTTATGCCAGTAACATGCTGTTTTGGTTATGGTAGCTTTGTAGTATAGTTTGAAGTCAGGTAGTGGTAGCTTTGTAGTATAGTTTGAAGTCAGGTAGTGTTATGCCTCTGGCTTTAAATAAAAGTCAGTTTCATTCCAAGATAAGAAGTCTTAGGCTCTATGGTATAAAAGACTGCACTGAACTGTGAATTATATAAAGTCTTTGTAAGGTGCTTTGGGGAATACATTATATTAACAACTTGATTCTTTTCCCAAGAAGATTTTAGGGAATTTAAGAAACAAGATGTGCAAATATTATTTTATTCAACAAAAAACAGCTACAATATGTAAAGAAGCTCTAAAACACATATATTTGAAAAAATGAATAAAACTATTCACCATTCTCAGAGGAGTTTATAATCTAGTATCAGAGGCACATATACACATGGTTCAAGATGGTCAGATTAATTCCACTGAGGTGAATAAAGGAAGGCATTGTGGATAGGTAGAGTTTAAATTGACACTTGTAGGACAGGAATAGTTTGTCAAATGAAGAAAGTGATGTATGTTTTCTATGTAGAAGAGAATACTTGAGGATAGACTTTAAGAAAAACTATCTGGGGGCATATAATCTAGAAAAAAAATGAATCAGGACCTGACTGGAATAGTGGGTAAATAGAACAGTGTTTTAGAAGCTTTGTATTTTGGTTAGGATCATTTTTTGACATTGTGAAACAGAGAGGAGAGAGATCAGAGCTATTTTTTTGATGATAGACAACACTGTGCAAATGATAAACCATAAGTTCTCAAAAAAAAGACTTAGGTCATCACATCAGGTACATTAGGAGATATTTTCAACTGACTCCTATAAAATAATATATGTGAGGCTCTCAATTACTTCCAAAAAAGGAGCTAGTTACCAATGTAAATTAATCCCAGGAAATATCAATCAATATCTAGTCTCCACCATTTTCAGTGCATGATTAGGATGGGAATTGAAAAGAGTAAAACAAACCTATCCTTGTTCAACAAACCCTCAAATTCAGGTGTCTGAATCAGATGGGAAGCTATGCTGGCCCTAGGGCATAATATGAGAATTGACACAAGAGAGCTAAAAGTAGGATTAATTATATATCTAAGACAAACAGGACAGAGTGGGAATCCAGATGGTGCCTGAAACCTGATGGATGGAACAATCAGATAGGATACTATGAAGTCAGAAGTAGGAAAAGCACATCTGAAAAAACGGACACAGAGTTTCACTTAAAACACACACATACAAATATGAGTCATCTTGAAATGACGAAAAAAAAGTCATTAGAAAGAAGGAAAGAGCTACATGAAACTCATACTCCAGAGAAGTGTTATTAAATAAAAATACTAGAAGATCTGTCAGGGATAGAGGAGGCAGTGGATGGCACATGTTGTTCACTCTACCATGAAAACCAAAATTCTCTACCATACCATCCAGCAATCCCTCTTCTAGGTGCATACCCAAAGGAATGGAAATCATCGTGTCAAAGGGATACCTGCACTCCCATGTTTATCACAGCTCTATTTACAATAGCCAAGATATGGAACCAACCTAAATGTCCATCAGTAGAAGACTGGATAAGGAAAATGTGGAATACATACACAATGGAGTACTACTCAGCCATAAAAAAGAATTAAATTCTCCCATTTGTAACAACATGGATGAGCTTGAAGAAAATTATGTTAAGTGAAATAAGACAGACACAGAAAGGAAATACCACATCTTCACTCATAAGTGGGAGCTAAGAAAGAAAGAAAGACCATAACAGAACACTGAATTTTCAGAAGGAGAGAACAGAACTATAGAAGTGGTAAAGGGGGAGAGAAATGGGGGATAGAAAGTAACTGGGAAAGAGACTCATAAAGTAACCATGATTTGTAATGATGAACATGCTAACAGTATTGATTTGGTCATCACATGCTGTACACAAATACTGATAGTCAACTCCGTACCCCATAAATATTAATAAATAAAAATAATAAAATTTTTTAAAAATTAAAAAAATTTTAAAAAACAAAGTTCTAGAGTAAACTGCTATATCTCTACAAGAGATCCATCATGGCACAAAAGCAAGTTGAGCTTTGTCAGGAAAAACTGAGAAATCTAATGCATATCTACATATTAGACAATTCGGAAAAGTGAGAAACATTTAAAATCATTGGAATAACATTTATTATTTATTTGACAAACCATGCCACTCTAAACTCCTGTAATTATGACTTGACAAGTCCCTATCACACAAACAAAGCTAGGAAAATCTTCCAGAACTCCAGAATGCAAAAAACCGAGCTTCCAGTCAGTGCAATAGAAAACAGGAGCCAATATATGGATATCCCCATCAACTAGAGGAGAAGGGAAAACAAATACAAACTTTTTCCTGCATTAACTATTTAAATTTTCTATGCATCATGAAAATTATTCCCCTTCATCAACTTCAGTTTCCAATATCAGATCTTACACATTTTACGTCTTACAACCTCCTTGGCAGTTTCTAGATTCCCTGCTTGATCTCCTTGGTTCTCACACCATAAACAATGGGGTTCAGAGCTGGAGGGATGAGGTGGTGCAGGATGTTCAGCAGGATGGGGGCGTCTGGGGGAATTCTCTTCCTGGCCAGGTTAGTGATGACCAGAACCAGCAGGACTGTGCAGAAGAAGAGGATGAGGATGAAGTGGGAACCACAAGTGCTCAGGGCCCTGGCCACAGCTCCCTCAGCCTTGATCCTTAGCACAACTTTCAGGATAAAAGAATAAGAGAGAACAATTAGGATGAGGTCAGAACCTAGGAGGGTCCAACCTATAACAAACTGGTAGAGCTCATTGAAAGTGATGTCATCACAAGAGAGTTTGGAAACAGATACGTTAGTACAGATACAATTCTGGATAATGTTTCTTGTACAGTATCTGAGACGGGAACAAAATATAGGGATAGGCATAGTAAGAAAGCCATTCCGAACCACAACAAAGAGGGCAGCCTTAGCCACAAACTGGTCGGTGATGATGGATGGGTACCACAGGGGGTGGCAGATGGCCACCTAGTGATCATAGGCCATGACCATGAATGTGCAGGATTCCATAGTCAGGAAACTGTTCATGATGAACATCTGGAGGAAGTAGGCAGAGAAGCTGATGGACCTGAGGTCAAACCAGAAGACGGCCAGGACCTTGGGGATGATGGTGAGACACAGAACCATGTCCAGCATGGAGAGGAGGCTGAGCAGGTAGTACATGGGCTGGTGCAGAGAGGCCTCCAGCTGGATGGTGATCAGGAGGGTGGTGTTGGCCCCCATGGCCAGCAGGAAGAGGAGGCTGAGGGGCAGGGACAGCCAGTGCTGCCAGCTCTGGAAGTTAGGGAAGCAGATGAGGAGGAATTCGGAGACCGGAGCAGTGGAGTAGTTGCTGGGTGATGCCATGTCCTGTATCCTGATCAGCACTAACACTTCAAGAAACCCTAGTGGGTAAAACAGAAATAGATCCATCCATCCACTGTGAATACCCATGGGGAAATAACTCATTTTCCAGAGAACCATTGAAAAAGAATAACAGTTTCTAGCAGTGTTCTAAGTGCTTTATGGTTATAAACCGATCCATTCTGTTAAAAACCTTATAGGTAGAATGAAGAAAGTCCATATTTCTTGGTTTCCTGGAAATCATTTTCATTTATGCTGCTTTTAACGTGTATGCCCAACTTGGTTGATAAATTACATGACTGTCCCCCTTAACCAGTGTCATTCCAGTTTTACAGATGAGGATACAAAGGTAATTAATGGTAAGTAAATTCATTTTATCAACATCACAGTGGTGATGCCATGACCTGAAACCATGAAGTCAAACCACAGCTGAAGTTTCAATCACTACTTTTTCAGCCTCTATAGACAAAAATATGTATGCAGACCCTTCTGCTAAAGTAGATCAGCCATAGGCCCCACACAAATGTCTGCCCCTGCTTTTCCTCCAAGAGCAGAAATCACAAGCAAAGGAGAAAGCAGACCTAAGTGAACAACCAGAGAGTACTTGAAGACTTTACTAGAGATATGACTGTCATCTGTATAGGGCACAGAACCTTAGATCTAAAAAATGACTAGATTTTGATATAAAATATGTGACAAATCTTCTAATGTCATAGGCAAGCTGTTGAGATAAAAACAAGAAATTTCAGGAGCCAGCAGTTTGGGTCCACCAGTACTATCCCAAGAGTGAGGGATACAGCAACTGCTGTCTTCATCTGAGTCCGTGTGAATGCTCCATCAGTCACAGACCAGAATCAACAGGTTCCCATGAGTCCTGGTCTGGTACACCAAAACCAGTGTGGACAAATTTAATGAGCCAGCTTTCATATGGTTTCCATGCTAAGGCTTATTTCAGAGCATTGGTTGATATGCTCCAGTGACACTGTTTACTTAATGCTCTGAAGCCCTACCTTGGCCATTTTTTTAATCAACAATGACAGTGGTCCTAATGAGTGCTGGACCCTTGTAGAGTCAGCTTCCCTCTCTGTTGCTCAAAGGCAAGGAGTAAGTGTGAATATGTGAAGCATTTGTGAATGTTAGAAGAAACAAATTTGCCTCTCTGTTTTGCCTAAGACATTATCACTTTCCATATACAGCCAGGCACCACATAAATATGTTTCAGTTGATGATGGACCACGTATACAATGCAGGTCCCATAAGGTTATAATGGAGTTGAAAATTGTTTATGTTTATACATGTTTACATACACAAGTAGTTACCATTGTCTTACAATTGCCTACAGTATTCAGTATGGTAACATGCTGGACAAATTGATGGACTAAGATCAATAAGCTGTACAATATAGCCTAGGTGTGTAATAGGCTATAACATCTGGGCTTGTGTAAGTATACTCTATGATATTCACACAATGATAAAATTGCCTAACTAAGCATTTATCAGAATGCATACCAGTCATTAAATGATATATGACTGTAGTCTACAGCAACCCTGTAATGTCTATAGAAGAAATACAATGCAAGCCACATATGTAACTTTAAATTTCTAGTAACCACCTTTAAAAAAGTAAAAGTAAACATGAACAATTAATTTTAACAGTATGAACTCAATATATCCAAAATATTATCACTTTAATATGTAATCAATATTTTTTAATGTTTTAGGGCTATTTTACATTCTTTGTTTTTTTGATTATACTGTTTATAAAATCAGGTGTCTATTTTACATGGGTGGTATATGGGAATTTCTTTCATTTGGTACCATTTTTGGGTCAGCTCAAGATTACAGTTTTCATTTTCTTTTTCAGTACTCCCCATCAATGTTCCTTTAGGAATTTCTTGGTAAATTGAGCTTCAGACATCAGAATGGGAATACTTCATTAAGGACAGAGATAGCCAACACACCCAGCATTCCCAGCTTATATCAGAACAAAAGCCTGTACAAGAGACTAGACTTTCCAACAACTGGATCTTTTAGACTCAGACTAGATTTCACTCTTCTTTCACTCTTATCTTAAGCCAGTGAAGTTATTTTGTTGTCTTTGTTACAATCAATGTTACTATTCAGTAAAGAATACCAAAATGTCGTAATAGGAACACGATTCTTTCACATAAAATATATTTGGAGACTAGAACTAGGTGTCATCGACAAAGGGTGGCAAAAGAGTTAAGGTTCAAAAGTTAGAATTGGAATTAAAAAATAATATAGCTTCAGATATAAATCCAGATAAAGTGTTTATCCTGTTAGTCAGACCTTACAAACTTACCTGTAGACATATTCCATGTGTCTTAAAGAAATAAATCTATTTCTCTAAAGTCTTCTGCTTTATTTACAGGTGGTTACGGTGCTCTTTTTCCTGGATTCAATGAACCAAAGATAAAAATTGACTCTGTACCGAGTCTGGAGTCTTCTAGGGAGCATGGTGGCTTAAGCAACGGAAAAGATACTCGGTCCCAGCCAGAGAAGCAGGAAAGAGCACTGAGAGACAAAGAAGAATGTGATGGGAAGCTCAAGCAGGAGTAATCAAGGCAGCTGGGATTACTGGTCCTACCTATCCCATATGGTGCTTCCAGGGCAATCGTCTCCATGGGGACTGATACGCACTTGAGAAAATAAATTCATTGAGAGTCTTCTGGTCTCCAACTCCCATAGTCAGTAATGCCGACACACCTTTAGTTCAAAAACCCTCACCCTGAAAATCTCAGCTTTTCTTAATGGGTAGTGTACAGATCACATTAGAAAAACTGTACAGCAACATGGATGAGCTTGGAGAAAATTATTTTGAATGAAATAAGCCAGGTACAGAGGGAAAAAAACCTCATGTTCTCACGCATAAGTGGGAGCTAAGAGAGAAAGAAGGAAGGAAGGAAAGACCACAGTTGTGCTCTGGGCTTTCAGCGGGAGAGAGCTTTCATAGGGCTGTGGAGCCGGGTGGGGGAAGGAGCAAAGGGGAGGGAGGTCAGGGATTAATTGGGTGGGGGACTCAGGGAATAATCACAATTTGTGGTAATGGCCAAGCTGATAGAATTTATCTGGCCATCACGTCTTGGGCACAAGTGGTGACGGTCAGCTTTGTACCCCATGAAAATTCATAAGCAATATAAATAAATAAGTAAAACGGGTGAGTATTTTTATCCATCTAGGCTGCTATAACAAAATACCACAAACTGTGTGGCTTATAAACAACAGAAATTTATTTCTTATAGTTCTGGAGTCTGGGAAGTTCAAGATTAAGGTGTTAAAAGAAAAAGAAAAACTTTGCCCCCATAGGAAAGCAGGGATGTGTGGCTTATAAACAACAGAAATTTATTTCTTATAGTTCTGGAGTCTGGGGAGTTCAAGATTAAGGTGTTAAAAGAAAAAGAAAAACTTTGCCCCCATAGGAAAGCAGGGATGCACCAGATTTGGGGGAATTGGTAGAATCTGAATCTGCAAGAGCAGACCTGCTAAAGTCCTGCCAGAAGAATTTCCTCTCCCTGATTATATTGGACACTTGGGTATCTACATGCTTCATCATTCCCGTGCTCACAATTTTTCTGGTTTTAAGTAAGGCCTGGCAGCTAAAGGAGGCTGTGCTGTAAAATGCTAGTTATGATGTTTGCTACACTATCTGGCCCAGCCCCTCAGAGGTTCCAGAGGCTACTTTCAGCTCCACTCAGTTCCTTCCCTCCCCCACAGCACATAGAGGATAAGGCCGTTTTAGGCATCTGACCATGGAGCATATGGCCCATTCTTCAGGGGGTCTGGGAATGGAAAAGAAAACATAAAAGACAAAAGTCATTACGGGGGTAGTGGTTAAAAGTGAGAGCCTTGAGGAAAATCATGGAGATGGGGGACTCTAAGCAAAGAGCATTTATGTTTGAAAAACAAATATATCTAGACTTATGACAGAGAGAACTCCATTTCACACATTAGGTGAACTTTGGAAAAATTATTTTTAAATAAAGATTTAATAGTATTCTTAAACTGGCATCATTTCATTATGGCTAGTGAACAAAAATGAGCCATAAATCATAACATGTTACATAAATGTCATTTCCCTTATTACACACAGGGCAGTAGCCTAATTGAAAACTGGAATGGGCAAGAGAAATATTTACATTAAAGATAGGGCACCATAAGAGCATGAACCCTGGCTCACTCACTGGGTAAGTACAGGCTTCATCTGAATACATGAGGTAATAAAGAGGAAATGCCTTAGGAAGCCTCCAGGTACCAGCAAGAGGAATGAGGGAGCTGGAGACGATGCTGACACATCCTCTCTTTCCCACCTCACCAGGTCTGAGTTGCCCGACTGGGACAACAGTTGTGTTTCAGACAATGGGCATAACCGGGCAAGATACTACCTAGGTCGTTTTGAACTTGTCTCTCTGTCTTTCAAAGGGAACCTTGGGTTCAGTATCAGCCTGACCTCACTGGGTCAGGCCAGGAGTGAACACAAAAAATGTCTGGGAATAGAGATGGTCCTATTACACTTTACCCTTCCAACCCTGTCACTTCTTCCTGGACAGGGGAGATCACAGGGAGGCACCTGCTCCTGCCTGGCTTATGTATTGTTAGTGTGCCTGAAAGAGAGGCTCCCACTCAAGAGGATTCCAAATGAGGAAGAATAATAAAACAAATAAAGGGAAATTATAATAGAAGGGAGAGAGACAGACGAAAATGATGACATCAAGGAAAGATGTTATCACTCTTTTCTACTGAGAATGCTTCAGAAACAGAGAATGATAACTTAGTGTCTTTTCTCAGATGATTAAAGCAAGAACTCAATGAGATTATCTGGAGAAAATACATGATAAAAGCACCACTGGGTTATGTTTACTTCTTTTGTTATTTTACAGGTAAACAGACAGTGATAATTCTTTGTACTGACTTGGACAGGGGTTGCAAAGCAATCAAATTTCTGCACAGTGTGAGGCCACAAATCAAGGAGATAGTTTTCTAAG